GCAACCACAACAATACATGGCACCGACTTGCGCTCAGCTTCGGCGCGGCGGTGCAAGTCAGCAAAATGCCACTGCCACACAGCTTGTGCCTATGCGATCAAAGACAGTGGCGTCAAAATGTGAGGGCCAGCCGCAGGATGAGCGCGAAACAAGCTGGCTGTAGCTTCTCAGCGTGACGCACAGTGGTGCTCTTGTCGATGGCGCGCAACTGGTTGCCGTAGACTTCGCTTGCTTGCTGAAAGGCCGCGGCCACCTCAGGGTCAACAGCAGGACCATGGGCGGTGGGGATAAGGTGGTGAAGATGTCCGTAGAGGCGTGGTAGCACAGCCAACGCATCGATGTATTGTTCGCAATCTTGAACCGGTTGGAAAGGCTCGTCCAGGAAGCCTTTGGGAAATGCTCGGAGTGGCACGACATGCTCGCCGTGTTCAAACCACAATGGGAACACCTGTAGCCGGTGGCTTTCTGCGGCTTCGCGAATGTGGCAGTATTCTTTGCCAACGTTCGTTACTTCCTTAGATAGCGCAGCTGATGAGACCTTGTTGCTCGGTTCTACATTGGGCCACGCGTTTAATGTGGTTGATAAGCTTCTAGGCAATGTGAAGTCGGCAGCGCCTGATGGACCTTTGGAAGCAAGGGTGTGCTGAAAGAAGTCACTACATACCGGGCACGCGACGACAATAGTCGGAAGAACCAATGACAAAGGCCACGGCTGAGGCTTCAATGCCTTGTCGCATGAATTCATCAATGTCCATGCCCACCTACAATGAGGGACAGATGACAAAAAAGGTGCCATCATTAACATACTGTGGGAACTGTTAAAGTTTCAGCGGGGTCGACATGGGAGGTACGCTTGCGACAAAGCAAAGCGTAACAACTGCCATCGACCATTGCAACATGAACAACAACTGTAACACTCCCTCGGAAGAAAAAACAAAAAACAAAAACTACAACCAAAACAGAACCACCAAAAAAGGCTAGTCGGCCGGCACAGGTGGCGCAAAGCCGTGATACGAGACCTTGAGATCCATGATATCAAGCTTGACGTCAAGCCCGACGGGCCGCATGTCTTCACGCAGGCGCTGTAAGCGGGCTTGTAGAAATTGTTGCTCTTTTTTGGCTCGCGGCCATGAATAGCTGATAAAGCCCTGTATGCAATTGCGTTGTGAGGCGAGAGAAAGGGAGAGGGAGAGAGGGAGAGGGAGAGAGGAGACTGAGCGGGGTAGCTTGATGAGCAAGTACATCCGATTTTGCATACACAAAGCGAACCTTGCGTCGCGTGCCTTCGAGGCGAGCCAGGTTGTTGACAGTGGTTTGTAGGCGAGAGAGGTGGGCATGTAATTGTTGACGCACGAGGGCTTCTCTCGCTGATAAGTAAGTCTGCGAGCAGGTGCAAGCGCGGGGTGAGTGCGATACGTCGATGTACTCCATGAGGACCTGACCAAGCATCAAACCTGATGGAGGGCTGTACCACAGCGAGCACGCAGGGCATCGATATTTGAGGCTTGATTTGTCGCGTTGGCGGCCTTTGCCGTTGTTTTGGAGCTTGTGGCTTTGGGGGCGTTTTTAGTGGCTAGTTTGCTTTGAGCATTGCCAGGCGCAGGAAGGTCCTGAGGTGGCGCGGGCAGGGAGTGGTCGAGGCGAGAAATGGACAATTGCTTTGGAAGGGGTTCGCCGCTGTCATCGGCCGGAGTGAAGTAGAGCGCGAGGTCATCGTTCGCCAGGTCTTCAGGCAAGGGGTCCACGAGCTGGGCCGAATCGACGCAAAAGATTGCGCGTAGGGGACGGCCGGCAGGGGTTTGCCAAGCGTGCAGAGCGTTTCGAAACCAGAGATTGGTGCAGTGTTGATCGGCTTGCCAATTGACAAAGAGTAGAACGATTTCAACGTGCTCGGCCTGGAAGGTCTCGAGCTCGGCTTGCGTGTAGCCATGCTGCCAAAGGCATTGCTCCACGAGGTGCTCACCGGCGTTTTCCAGCGCGGCAAGGTCCACCACTAAAGGCAAGATGTCGCGGTGGGCGGCAAATCCTTTCCAGAGACAGTTATGGAGAATGGCAGTGGCTTGGGCCACGAGAGCGGTGGAGCCATGAAGCAGCCAGCAGAGCTGGCTGCCTTGCAAGAAGGGCGGAAGTGCTGCACTCAACGGGGTGCCAGAGTGCAGCTGCAGATCTTGTGAGGGAGACGGGGCATCCAAAGGTGGGGCCAGCTTGCGGATGGCAACCTCGGTCACGCGGTTGCTCTGAACCTGGAGGCCGCGGTCAAGGAAGAGGCGTTGCTTGCGATCCAAGTTGCTCTTGAGAACGGTTTCGCGGAGGCGATCGCATTCTCGTTGTTCGTCATAGACGCGCTTGAATTGTGCAGCGTCAACATTGGCAAGGTTATCTTGTTGGAGGGAGTGTTTGAGGGCACGGAAGCTCTCGGCATGGGCTTCCAGGAGCGGGGCGCTCTCAGTGGGGTTCATGTGAAGGAGGGAGGCCACAAAGGCTGGCAGAAACTCGCAGTAGCTGGCGCTGTCGGCAACGGAGGAGCCCAAGATGGAGCTGAGGGCCGCAGGGATGGCCTGGGCAAAGCCGCCCGCCAATACGATAGGCAAGACCAAGAGGTCGTGGGCCTGAGCGCTAGCATACTCCTGGGCAACGGCGGTCTCGGGTTGGTCAAACTCGGCGTGATAGGAAGGGCTGCCAACAGCAATCAAGGCGTGGCTCTTAGGGATGGCTTGGGACAGAAAGGCAGAGAATTCTTGGTCACGGGGCCAGTCAAGGAGGGGGGCTTGCACGGTGAGGCCAGCCAGGCGTAGGTCGTCCATGAGGCCAATGACGCGAGTGAGAAGGCTGTCTTCCTCTGGGCGAGAGGGCCAGGCGTGGGACACGTAAACTACGGGAGAGGATCGGCTCTCCTCCAACTTGGCGTGAAATTTGACCAGTGTTTCGTCCACCAGTCGCCTGTTGCTCGGTGATGCCAGGGCGGGGGGCAGGCGCGATGTCAGAACTGGCGGGGGAGGGACTTTGATGTCAGGGGATGGCGCTGACGACACGCGGGCGGTGGGAAGCGCACCTGTATTGCTGGTTGGCTAGGGCTTGTTGCACGTCAAAAGAGGTCGAATCCTCCTCTTGAACAGGCCGCCAGGGTGAGAGGGCAGGACGGAGCGGCGAGATGTCAGCAATGTTGTTGGCATAGGCATCTGCTCGAAAGCCCTGATCTTGCGCTTCCAGAACGGCCCGCAAGTGGGCCGTCGCCTGGCCGTTTGGTACGGCGTTGGGGGTCGCGGAGGCCCGGGCCTGTTGGATGGATGGTGCGGGGGCCTTTATGGGCGCTACTTGGGCGGATGCTGGGGCAACGCCCTGGGGTGCTGCTGCCGGTGGTGATGTTGTGTGACCCGGCGTCTCAATCGGTGCTGGGATCGGTGCTGTGTCATGTTGCCGAGTCTTTCGCGTTTTGCGAGCCCGCTTCCGTTCTTTGGAAACCGACGAACCCATACCGCCGGCCCATGCAATACGACTGCACCGATAACTTGACGCGCCTCCCGTACTCCCAACTCAATCACTGACCAGATCCTCACCCGATGACAAGACGTCAAGACGACAACCCGGCAAGACGACAAGACGACGAGACGTCAAGACGACAAGACGGCACTCTCTCACGTAAATGCTATCACTCTCTATTTTGTGCACAACTCTTCCCACTGACATCCAGTGTGTGTGTGTGTGTGTGTGTGTGTGTGTGTGTGTGTGTGTGTGTGTGTGTGTGTGTGTGTGTGTGTGAATGCGATCGTGCAATTGTCAGCGTTTCGGCACCTCTCATCAAGTACACCGCTCAAGCTGGATGTGATGAGAAGAATAAGAGCAGCATGCCGGTGCAACCCAGGGCATGAGCACTGCCCTTGGCTCACGGGACCACACACAAGACACAAAGACCCATGATACAAGTCACAACTCACGCACAAACACAGACACAGGGGTGCCGGGCAAACATCATCAAGCGTTGCTAACCGTCAGATGTCAGACAAGAAAATAGAAGTAAAATACATTTAGCTTCACAGGCGTGCTCTGCCCCCCATACAAAAACAAGTTGTTGCTCACGCCGCGCCAGACCAGACCATGTGGTGGGGTGCGTGGTCTGGATCAGAAAACAAGATCATGCTCAATGCTGAATCTCAAGTGTGACCAGAGTGGCATTTTAATTTGTCATACTTGGCCCCCTATGTGGGTTTTGGCTGGGCTCGAACATACTTTTTGGCTTGACACGCTTCTTCGTCTCCAAGGTTTTTGACAAATTAACGTCCGCACTGAACATGGGGTGTGTGCACGCCACCACCGCCGAGCATAAGAATGGTGAGTGCCAGAGGGTTCAGTGGCGTCAACACCATCAGCAAGTGTGTAAACGGCGAGCCAAGTGTGGTAACAAGGATGTCAACATGACGATGAAAAGTTGGCTTGTTGTGCTCGAACAAGAAGGTGGAATTCCCGAGAAGCTGTGCTGTATCGCTTGGTAGGGTGCAACGTTCAAACTATGACATGACTCTCATACACTGATGACTTGAAGGACTCAAACCCTTAAGCAAAAATGTGATAACACAAGTGGGTGCAGACGACGCCCATGCCCAAGCTCGCGCTGCAGCTGTTGTACTTGTACCATGCTTCTCGTGGGCGTTGGGCCTAGAAGTGTGCGTGTGGGGTTCGGGGCAACAGGTGACGACTTGAAGGGGTCAAGTGTCACGTTGTAAGGTGAGCGTGGTCAAGTGGAGAGCGGCGTATCGATGCTTTGGCAAGACGCGACAACTCGAGTCCGAGGAACGATGACCTTTTTCCCCTCAGCTTGGGTGGTCTGAGGCGTCATCTCGTTACCCACTTGCACTTTCAACGCTCAACCTTCCTTGTACATCCGCGCGCCCCTTCCTCCGGCGATTGACGCTGCCGTTCCTTTTCCAGTCACTGTTGGTTCGACGCTCTGTCTGTCCACCCCCTTTTCGTCCATCTCCATCGTGGTGCTTCAGTCAACCATCATGGCTGCCACTCCCACGTTCAAGGTCCTTCTGGTGCTGGTGCTGCTGGTGGCTTGTACCTTGCCGACTGCCGCTGGTCTGCACTACATCGAGTTTGATGACAACTGGTGCCACCGCCCCAATGGCTACCAAATCCAAATCCTGAGCGACGCCTTCAATCAGTGCGAGCCCAACATGCAAATCGTCGGCTACGACCGTGACCCAAACCATTCCTTCTTCCAGTTTTCCAACGCCACTGCCTGCCGCGCCGGCATCGTCGTTGGCATGGAAGCCTACACTAGCCACGACTGCTCCGGCCACCCCCGTCGACGCATTACCCATCAGGTCGTTGGCGAATGCTACAGCGTTGAAGACGATGACGACGCGCGCTCCTACATGATTGTCTGTCACGCCGACGCACACTAAATGGCAGTGGTGTGGATGTGGATGAATGAATATGCCAAGTAAAGGATCATGTAAAAAGAGTGTGCCCGCCCTTCAAATAACCCCATCCCCTGCTTGGTTTCTGAGTGACTAGTGAGACCTGCCTTACCTTTGCTATGACGATGCTGTGCATACGACCGCTCTTGTCTGCCCTGTCCAACCTTTTTGTGGCTTGATGGCTGGCCCCAGTGGCCCTTGCATTTTCCTCCCAGTCCTTCCGTTTCTCTCCGGGCATTTTGAGTTTTCCGCCCCCCCCCCTTTCATCTGCACAATCTGTACATACGCAAAGGATTTTCTGCCGTCATGCTTGGGTTTTGGTGTCATCATCGTCTCGCTGCATGACCCATGCCTTGTACCTGGAAACCTTCTTCCTCTCGTGCTTGTCTTGGGGGATTGAGACGAACACCGTGTTGTGTCCATAACGTCATGCCTAATGTCAATTCGCATATCAAAACCTGACTTTTTCATGTCTAGACCTCAGAATCTTTGTCCAAACAACATCTTGTTTGTTCTGGGTCAGGGATCAGCGTCGGTCGTCTGCAGTAGCACCACGGAGCGATCGCGCATGCCCTGGTGGTGTAAAACCTGGAATCCATCATGCAAGGATGAGCAGCACGATCACATCATAACCACACATCTGAGCTTGCTCAGTCAGGATGTGACCAACGCACCTCATCGAGGGCTAAGAGTCGTCGAGCCACGGGATCAAAGAGCTGCAAATGCGCCACCTACACCGCCAGGACAGGCAAGGAGACAAAGTGGGCCGATAGTCCCCAAATGCATCGTCCAAAGAGGACTCTCAATCTTATTCCAAAATTGGCTTACGGTGCTTCCGCGTTCGGGCCATTGCTCAAAGGCCTTTTGCAACAGCTGCATTGCTGGCATGTTGGCGCCCACATTGACCTAGAGGGATACCGGTTCAGCCGCGTCAATATCCCTTCCGAAAAGAACCCCGATCGCAATGACCATGGCCAAGATGCCGTTCGGTGCGCCCACACCTCATGGCGTGCACCATCAGGGTATCGGACGCGGATGCGCAGGGTGGGGCCGGGATCGACCACACTCGGCTCCTTGGCCGCTCCGATATTCGGGAGCGCAGCAAATCGAGCGGTCTAGAAAAAGCATGCACAAACAAATTCTCTTTGAATGTGCAGGCCTACCAAAAGCTTCGAGCTAACAGCGCACTCAATCGAGACATGCCGGGTGTATTGCGGCCAAGTTGCCCCCGCTGGACAGATGCGTAGCATACCGTTGGCATGCGCACAAGGGCCTCGAGTCCTGGAGAGGTGATGGCACCAAGCTTCACGCTATGGCCAGACAAAGTGCTAGGGGGCCTCATTGGCTGTCCGGCTGATCTCGAGGTTGGCCGAGGCTCGCCGCGGGCCACTTGCCGCCGTCGTGCCTCCGAGCTGGGTCGCCGGCCAGGTCGCGGTTGACTCGCAGTGGCACGAGGCCCCGGTGGCGGGGCGGGCCGAAAAGCCATCACCACAGCTTGCCCCCTAGCCCCTTTGCGCGCCACCGTGCCACAACCGCCGCAGCATCTTGTTCCCCTCCTCCCTCCCACCGCTTCAATGCCACACAATGCTCCTTTCCGCCCTGACGACCACCCTACTCGAGACCAAAATTTTCACTGGAGCAGCCGGTCCTTTTATTTCCGAGGGGTAACGTGGGTGGTATAATGTTATTGTCAGATTTTTATCTTGTTGTTGTTGTTGTTGTTGTTGTTGTTGTTTTTTGTGTTTTATTTTTTCTCTCTCTCTATCTCTCTCGCTCTCTCGCAGACGGTCAGTGGCGCAGGGATGGCGATCGCAAGGACGCTGGTCAGAGATGTGCGTCGAGCGGGGAGAAGGGGGGCAGAGGACACACAGCGCGGGAGGGGGTCGGAGGGGAGAGACAGCAGTGTGCGAGTTGGCTTGTTATGGACTGAGGATTCTTCTCTCGGGTGGGTGTCGCTGCTTTTTAGGATCAGGGTCGTCGGCGTCCTGTTGGTTCTTGCACAAGGTGAAAGATGCGGGCCGTGAGCGGGCACCTTTTCTGGGGGGCGTTGATGCTGTCACTGGCCAGTCTGGGCCAGAGCGACAATGTGTACGACGTCGTGATTTACTCGGCCACACCCGCAGGCCTGGGCGCGGCCTTTATGCTGGCGAATCTCTCCTCCACCGTCTCGATCGCCGTGCTTGAGCCCTCTGGCTACGTCGGCGGCATGGCCTCGCCCGGAGGCATCGGCCTGCGCGACCACCGTTATGCCGAGGAAATGAGCGACAACGAACTCGTCTGGGGCATGCTCAACGCCCGCTATTATAACTCCTCCGAGCCTGTCTGGCAACCAGACAATCACGTGGGACACAGCAACTTTCTCACCATGATTCGCCAGTGGAAGAACATTCATCTCTACATGAACACCTCCATCCTCGAAGATGGCGGTGTCGCCATGGACGGTGCCCGCATCACTGCCATTTCAACCGATGATACCAACACGGGTGGATCTGCCGTCACTTGGCGCGCCCAATATTTCGTGGATGCCTCCTACGAGGGTGATTTGATGGCCTATGCCGGCGCCTCCATGACTTTTGGCCGTGAATCCCGCGACACTTACAATGAATCGTATGCCGGTGTAACAGACAGCTCGCAGGCCCAGGTATGATCCCGCATGAAACACCTTGAAGCCTGGTAGCAGACACTGGGTCCCACCCCATCTCACCCCGGGCCTGCTTATCTGCTCCGGCCACACCACCACACCGCGCTTTGGCTTAGTTTGACGTTTACGTTGATCCCGAGTGGAATGACGGCTCGCTGCTCTCCTTTTTGCGCAATGGCCCCGATCCTCGCACTCATCTGGGCCAAGCAGATCATCACGTCATGGCCTATTCATTTCGTGCCTGCCTCAGTCTCGATCCCGATAACCAGGTTCGTCAGCCAAGATGGTCACAGCTGCTTCCGCTGCTACACATACCCAGCACGGAACCGCCTCTGACTAGAGCACGGTCGCCCCCCCCAGCGTATCATTTCCTCTGTCTCAACTCATTCAACAGTTCATCCTCGTGCATGATGCCGATGTCCCACTCGTCCCATAGGTGCCTGTTCCACGCCCCGACGGCTACAACACATCTGACTTTGAAATTGCCCGTCGCTTCCTAGCCGGCGAATTGGCCGCCAAGAAGTCTTTGCGCTTGCCCTGGGGCAACCTGCCTTACTCGGCCTACCCTCCAAACAACAAGCGCGATGCCTGGTACGTGCAAGCATTTTTTTGACCCTCACTCTAGCCCCGTGTCGGCGCCCGCAAAGCGCTGCCTCTTCTCCTGACCCAACTGTCTTCTTCACATCTGTGTACCCCCTCATCTGACATGCAGCTGCGGCTCGGGGCCCGTCGGAATTGATGCGCCGGGTCTCGAGTACGGCTACGTTAACGGCACCCGCGCCCAGCGTCGGGCCATTTATGACTTGATCAAGTACTACGTGCAAGGAATCATGTATTTCTGGTTTGCCGATCCGGATGCCAATGTGCCTGCTGACGTGCGAAAGGAACAGTTTGACAACATGGGCTTGTGCAAGGACGAGTGGCCCGAGAACGGCCATTTTCCCCCACAACTGTGCGTGTCCCCGGCTTTCAGCGCCGATCTACTGCGCACACACGCCCCTCGTTCTCTGCATCGCAAAGCCGCGCTCATCGCTGCACTACCCTCTTTTTGCGCCTTCGATGGACCATACCAACTTGTCTTGCAATGGTCAGGTATGTACGGGAGGCTCGCCGGCTCGTAGGTGACCAGGTGTATGTGCAGAATGATCGCGTCGAGGCTTCGGCAGAGAATTGCCGCAATGACAGCATCGGCCTCGCTGTCTGGGGGATCGACATCCACGAGATGCAGCGGACTGCCGTTGTGGATGACACCAATACATCACGCAAGAAAGCCTACAACGAAGGATTGACCTCGCCCAGCATGGGCGGCGCGTTTTGGTTTGAGCTGCCTTACTATTTGCTGCTGCCCAAGCGTGCAGAAATCACCAACGCTCTAAGCCCCAACACCCCCAGCACCAGCCACGTGACGTTTGCTTCTATTCGCGTCGAGCCCACGCTGTGGCGGATGGGTGAGGCCTCGGGTGCGGCGATTCACATTGCTCTTAACAACAACAACCAGGCTCTACACGACGTGAACGTCTCAGCGATCCAGGACATCCTTTTGGATCATGGTGTGCCTTATCACTATCCCTTCCGCTCGTCCTGTGAAGCACCGTTGCCCCCAACGCCTCAGCCAGCCCCACCGGGCTGCACCGAGTATACTCTCTCCAAAGCCGGCTCAAGCACTGTGAATGGCGTGTATACCAAAAATGGTAGCGCCTTCGACGGGCCCAACGGCGTGTCCATTTATCAATATGAGAACCAGTATCACATTGCCGTCTCCGGGCACACCATTTTCTATGCCGGTTGGTTGCGCATGGCTTGCTCGCCCCTGATTGCCTCTTGCTTCACGCTCACACACCTATGTTGCAGCGGATGCGACCAACGAATCTGAGCCACCAGTGGCGGGATGGACGCCCGTGTCCGGCTCGGCCCCGGCCCCGCTCGTCAACTGCACCAAGACAGGGTGACTTGTGTGGGCACTGTCAACGGTATTCAACGCAAGCTCTTGAGTGCGAGCCTAGGATATACGTTCCACGCATTTAAATACTGTTGGATTAGCTTGTGGAAAAGAAAAAACAAAAAAAGATGTCCATTTCGAAATTTCGGGCTGTGTTTTGGAACAATATTTGATAACTACACCGCTGCCCCCAAGAAACAAGACGAGGGCAAGCAAGCAAGCGATGGTCCATTGTCTAAGACGCGATGACCAGCAAGCCAGCTAGTGGGACTTGCACGGTGGTATATTGTCAGGCAGTCACGATGTCACTTGGTAAATTTCCAAATGGCTTTTGTTTGATCGCATGCTTCGAGGAGCAAGCGGCGATGCGGGGTCGTGCTGAGACACAGTCCTTGGCCCTGAATTTGTAGCTTCTGATCCACAAGATCCCATCTGTAGGGATGCAAGGGGGTGCAGCAACACGATGTGAGGCATAAACGCTTTTCTTCAGAGAGGCTCGATGGTCGTAGGGGGCTATAAAACCGATGTCCATACTTAGATGCCTGTTTGCAGGAGGCTAAGTTGACAGTGTTGTCCTTTTGGGAAAGGCACAGATCACTGCCATGTCCATCAGCAAACAAGAGGTTGTGGTCTTTGGCTCTAAAGACCCACTCCTAGACGCACACCACCACAAGTGACCTCAGGCCGCCCCGCCCCATTTCCGTTAACAAAGAGGCTTTGCTTTGACCCGACCTGAGTATCTGAATCAGCGTTGATGCAAAAAGCAATGGTTGGAATCTTGTCATGCTGTGGGCAAGGCCGGAGAACATCCGATACCACATGATATAGCGCGGTCAGCTGAACAAAAGAGGCGTGGCGGTATCTCAATGGCACCCCTTGAGAAGACAGGTTGGCGCAACCACAAGTGAACAAACTTCGTGAATGTTGACGGCCAAGCACCGATTGCGAAGATGCAGCGCCTGTAATTGGCCAAAGCCTAACATGTCGCGCCCGGGAACGCTTTGGCGCAACCACACAAAACGCACAGACCAGCCGGGACCCAAAATTGAGTGCAAGTGATTTATGGGCCTGCCAAGAGCTTGAGCCAAGTACGTCAAATTCAGTACCTGAGCTCAGGAAAGACATTGTCTAGATACCACTTGAACGGCTTGCAACCCAGCTTCTCTCGCAGAGCCAATCTCTCGGACACGTCGCCCACCACGCTGTAAAACAAAGTCATAAAAGTGAAAGAGAGCAGGGGATGGAACAAATAGTTTAAACTCGACGAGTCCCCATTCAGGGGCAAGATGCACGGCGACGCGCTTCATACACGCGTCACATGCGACACGGATGAAAAAACAAAAACCCGTACGCTTTTTGAGCCGATGGGCGGGCATGGTAGAAGTGTTGCTTGTAATCGTCCATCCACACCTCAGCGGTGCGAGCCGTGTTGCTAATTGTAGGCCAAGCGATCATGACATGTTGTCCAACGTGAGCACAAATGAAACTCAATCGTCATTAATCGGTTCGAGCTTCTGTCGTACGTGTCATAGGTGTTGCCATTGCCCTTGGGAAAGGTGTCTACAGGTTTAGGCACCAAGAAGCTTAATGAATACGGGTCTGAGCCACACTCTATGACAAACGCGGGACCGGGTCGGTGCCGTACATGGGTGGCTTTTGCGAAAAATGTGGCCCACATGGGAGCAGGGATCAATATACATAGCCCCGCCACATTGCCAGGTACGAAAGGAGATTTCTACCCGCCGCAAGAAATAGGCCCAGGGTTAAGGGGGGTGTGGGGGGGGGGGGGGGGGGGGGGGCCC